GAAGTCAGCATAAGAATAACTCGTTTTCCCCAAGGGCACGTGGATTCCCCTCTGCTTTATTTTTCCTTCTGGAATTCAGTCCTAATATGCACTGAGCACCTGCTGTGTGCAAAGCACTGCTCATTGCTAAAGGGATGGACTTTCTCTTGGTCTCCGACTATAAAAGTATGTCACCCTGTCACCTTTCCCCACATCCCCCCTCTGTGTTTCATTTTCATCTTTACTATTTGAGTATTTGTATTTCCTTAACTGTCCTCGAGGTTTGAGATTCTGTCCTACTTATCTTTCTGTCCTTGGTCCACTGGGTAACCCTATGTGGATGACAACTGTCCACAGCTGTCCTCATCTGAGCTGCCCTTCTGTCAGCAAGCTGGTGTCAGGGTTCTTGAAGAAGGTACCCTAAGGGTGTCCATCACCCACTCCCCTAAATCTCCTCAGGGCTCCTGAACGAGGGCCATGTCCCATTTGGTAGAGGACAGAGAAGGTCCACAAAGGCCCAGGCCTTGGGGCCTCTTGCTCCTCACTGCCATGGACAGCCCGAAACATCTTAGCCAAAAATAATCATGTTGCCCTGGGGGCCTGAGTCCTGATGGCCTGCTGCCAGGGGCTTGTGAGCCTCCGGAATGTCTCAGCGTTGTTCAGGGTAACCAGATCGCCACACAGCTCCAGCAAGAAGCCTCAGAACCTCTCCACCTCAGCTGTTTTTAGTAGCGGGATTATTGGCAAGGGTGGAAATAGACCTCCGTGTTCTGGACAGCTTCCTCACCCCACATTCCTAGGCACACTTTGCTTTATTAAAGCTTTCAGCTGTCACAGTGATCCAGGCATGGAGAAAGGGAAGGCTGCCCTCACCAGCTGGTGGCAGGCTGCAAATGCAACCAGTTTTCACCCCATAAGGGCATGGTACTCTTATTAGAAGCTGTGTCCCTCACATGTCCTTAAGAAGGGGGCCATCTGCCAATCATAAATCAAGATCTCATCTGTTCCAAATAAAGGAGTCTAGCGTCCTAGCTGAGGTCCCTTTATAGCTGACAGATGTTTTTTTTAGTCCTGTGCTTGAACATACGGTCCTTGTGTAATTAAAAATTATAAAAGGTAACAGAAATCTACTGCTAAGAGGTTTGAGGCTAAGTAAGGAATTTAAAAAGTCTGAGGTTTCTGGATAATAAAAGAATTACAGAATTATGGAAGAGGAAAGAAAGGCTATTGAGAAAAAAGGAAAAGTAATCAGCAGTGCCCCTTAATTTGGAGGTAGTGGGATTCCATCTACAGAAGTTAGCCAGAAGAGGAAGGGCCCTTCACCCTTCTTTGCCATCCTGTTCTGGGGATCTTGAGAAAAGAACCAGTAGCTATGACAAATAAGCTGAAGATCATCCAAGTTCCTACTGAATGGTCAAACGGCACGAGGGGAGACTGGATGGGCTGAGGGTGGGCACCAGAAGGGTTAGGTGGAGCTCCTGGAAGAAGTTAACAGAAATAATCAACAGTCGGAAAAGAAAAAGAACGTCTGCTCTGGGTTTTATCAGCACGGTTCCAACACAGCTTTGCCCACGCCCCACGTCCTCAAAGTGTTTCTCATGTCTGTGTTAACAGCTGCTCGGGTAGGCACTGCTTTGTAGTGCAAAAGAGCTCTGGGGTCTAGAGAGAATCCCAGCTCTGTCATTTTGACTTTGAGCAAGTTACTGTGCTCCAGTTTTTTCTTCATCTGTAAAGCAGAATGATGGGCCCATTATGTCATCACTGAGTTGTTACATGGATGACTTGAGGTAGTGCATGCTGACAGCTGTGGTCAGAGGTCAGTGAATAGAGTCTGGTGTCATCTTCCTCTCCGTTCCCAAAGAAGGCTCACCCCCTCTTTGCTTGTGTGGCCATCCGGTCCTCCTCTGGAATGAGACTCATGCTTTTATTTTTCTCTCTACAATAAAAGGGCTTCTATTTTCTAGAGTCATGGGCACCCTTTGCTTTATGGAATAAATTGAACAGTGGCAATGTTGGTAATAATATGAACTCTCAGAAAATTAGTTTTTCCAGTTTATTCTTCAGAAAATCAGAGCCTAATAGTCATGAATAGCTTCCAGAACCCAACTCCTCACCTTCTCCTTTGGGGGAAATACCGTGCTTTGCTGATAAGGGGACATATTAAGTCTTGCAGCCACAGAGGCTTTCGTTTGTGGTCCAGTTCTGCATAAAATGTATGAGGGACCTCTTTTATCAACTTTTTTAAGTCTGAAAGTCTGTAAAACAAGTTCACATCAAAGATGACCCATCTGTGTTTATTTCTTCCTTCCCTCCTTTCTCTTTCTTTNTGTGTCCTGACAAGGTCATACAGTGCAATTGGGGGATTGGTCTGTTAAGTCCCTTTCAATCTGAGTTCCTCCTTCTACTTCTTTTTTCTCTTCTTCCTTGAAATTTATATATTGAAAAAAATAGATTTTTTTTTCAGTTGAGTTTATTGGTTGTATCTTGAGTCTCTGTTCCCTGTATTTTCATTAAGTTGGTGGTCACATACAGAGGCATGATCAGACCCAAGTTAGGTTGTTGGGCAGGAATTCTTCCCAGGCAGTGATGTGTACATCTATTGGGAGGTATATATGTCTAGTTGTATACATTTTTGTGATACTCGTAGTTGAAACTCATGAAGGGTTCCTAATTCATATCAGAATGGTGATATTCCCATTCTTTCCCCCTGTCTTTATGTATCAGTTTGGATACTCTGCAGCAGGAAACCGCACGCGCTCTCTCTGTCACCCACCTCCCCCAGAAGGCAATCTAGAGAAGTCCTGTAAATTCTGAGAGGCTGTGGACGACTGCAGCCCTTCAGGCTGAAGCCTGGGCCTGTTCTCATGGCTGTGATTTCCTCTCGGCAACAGCCACCACCAGAAAGACGTGCCGATTTTAGTCCCCGTGGTGCCTTGAAGTAAGGAGAGCAAGACAAGGAGGGATGGTCTTTGAGACAAAATTATCTGAAAACACTGATAGGCTGAATCTCCTTTCTATATAATGACAAATCCCAGAAGGTTCTGAACTTGGTGCTGGAGATTAAAGAGAACTCTGCACCTTTAATTCCCACAGTCACCTCCTAATCTTCTAGAATCAGATAAAGAAGGCAACTTGTCAACTATTTCTGATAAGTTTAATTATCAGAGCTTACAAATAATTCCAGGTTAGATGACACTCTTTCCAGTAGCAGACCAGCCAGCCAGTTATACTGACTTCCTGCCTAATACAACAACCTGCCATATTACCCAGGGTGAACCTGGGTAAAGGGTAAGATTTTCTCCTGTGTGGCTTTGAAATAGTTCAGACAGAACCAAGGACTTGATGATAGATTTAGACCGAGCTCCTAGAAGGATCTGATGCTATTTTATTCATTTGTGTATTCCTGATAGCACAATGTTTGCATGGAGGGGCTGCCCGACAGACTTCTGCTAGATCCTAGAGATACACCCCTGATCGAACTTAGAGGAGGGGAAACTGTCCCTTGCCCTATAATCCTATTCAACCTGAGGCAGGTTTTCCTGACCTGAACATTTGGGTATTTCCCTCATATCTTATTGAGGGACTGCTCTTTTGACAAACTCCCTCCCTCCCCCACTGCCAAAGCAATGGTTGACCTCAGAGTATTTTTTTCCTTCTGATCTAATCTAAAATTTAACCCAAAAGCCATCTCCGCCTGTTCCCATCACATCAAATGAATTCATCAAGCCACCTGCTTTACTGAATTCCAAATTAGGCATAAAAGTCACCAAACAATGAACTATTTCCACAAAGAGAAGAGAAAACAAATACAATGAAACAGGCCCAAATTGAAAACAAAGTTTAATGCAGGTGAAAAGCAGTCACATGGAAATTGAGCATGATAGGAATCATGAAAATATACATTTTGCATATTTTCTGTCCTGTTCAGAAGAGGATCACTCACTCTTCGCTCTCATGGACCACCATCTGCAGGGAAAGAGGGCATGGTTAGTTATGTCAGATGGCAGGGATGCATTTCTTCCTGCTCTCAGGGAGATTCTTGCTTGTATATTTCAGTAGGACACAGGATGTGTTTTGGATGTCAAGAGAAGAGACAATTGCATATGGGGAGGAAGTCACCCCACAGACTGAAAAACTGGCCCTCAGAGAGTATAAGCCCCATGGGCTGAGACTTTCAGCCTACAGTTATCTACCTGCATGTCTGTGACTGAAGCCGAGTGTGTACAGAGGGTGCTTGGAAGATCTCTGGGAGAAACTTCTTTTTCAGGATGGTGATTGGCTTATTGTGACTTACAGGACCTGGGTTCTAGTGGGACCCTTCTCAGCAAAGTGACGTTAAGCAAATCCTTCCTTTCCTGAGCCTGAGATTGAGCAGGTCTAAAGCAAAGAGTTCCCTAAGGTTCCTTCCAGTTCAAAACATTCTCCTTCACTGTGGGTGCTTCCCAGGTTGGCTCGGGAGCCACGATGCCAGCACACATCTGCTGCTCTCCATCTAGTGCCCACGGGAACTACCTACCCTGCTGGAGGTGAAGTCTCGGGTCTTAGCACGAAGCTTATTGACTTGAGATTCTGCAATATCAGCACGTTCCTCAGCCTCCTCGAGTTCATGCTGGGCTTTTCGGAATTTGGTGAGATGAGCGTTGGCTTGTTCATCCTGAAACC